GTTTTCTCTAGCACTATTGGGCCCCCACACCTGGTTAATTTGTTGAGCTGTTTCGATTGCGGATTGCCCCAATTTATAGTCGAAGAAAAAAATCGTCCGAAGTGCTCTTTTCACATGCTTGAAAAAATCTTAAAAAAGGGGGTTCATCAATGGTGAAACGGCAGTTATACCATCAGATAGCGCAAAGAATTCTCTTCAGGATGTACTACTGAGACGCAAGGGAGAATGAGTTTTTAATCAGCAATGAATGTACAAAAAATAGTAACACAAAACGCTGAGAACTTTCCGGACAACCTAATAAAAGAATATCACGGTGCTAATCCTACTATTCGGTAGCGACCTTGACTTGTGCTATGTTCATGTAGGCACAATCCACGATAACTTTCTTCTCGCGAACAGATTGCTAACAATAAGCTGGGATGAAAGGCGAGCCAACCATAAAACGCTTAGGAACTACCTCATCAGGGTTCTCATTTTCACAAGTCTAGCATCTCTTCAGTTCTCCTTCCATTTGTATATGTACCGATAGAGGCTCAAATGGTTAGCATTTTGAAAGCGATGCCGCAATTGAGGTGACTCCGCTCGATCGAATTGTATCAGCGAATGAGCGGGGGGTTCATGCGGTCCTTTGCGAACCTATGGACCATATTTCGGGTGACAGGAATTGGTCCTGGTGAAGCGGAACGCTAGAGGCTTCGTTGAGAGTGGTGGTAATAGCAGGGCACACCATTAGTTGGGGATTTTGATCGAATCCGTACAAACCCCCTTTTTTAGGGGGTTTTTTAGGGGTGCAACCCCCCCCTGGTTCCCTCGTCATGAAGCGGGGGAGGGTATGTAGTAACCATGAAACAGGGGAAACCTATCAACCAATTTCAGAAGGTCAAAAGCCAATACGACCCCCCCTTCTCAACGACCACATACGCCCCCCCCCCTGCTGGGGTGTCCGCCAACAGCGATGTACCCTGGGCAATAGACAGCGTCAGCTTGAGCAGAGAGGGCTGGGATGTGAATCGGCGTTCGTGCCGTTCGATTTCTCTCAGAGGGCTTCCCATACTTCGTGATCTCGTAGCCCCGAAGTCGCCCAAATCACGGAGTATGAACGCAGTCTTATCCGCGCGCTCTCTCACTATCAACCGGCAAATGTCCCTCGCCGTTGCCCTCACAGGCCTCGGGGCATTCCCGATTGGAGGCCTTCATTTTGCACTTGAGGCACTTCCCATTGCCGTGTTAAGCCATCAAATAGAGATTTGTAGCGTGATACCAGTCAAGTCTCGCAGAGACTACAGCTCAACCCTTATACCTGTCAACTTTTGTAAAGTGTTGAACACGAAATTGGAAGTAACCAAAAGTGCGAAATGCCACCCCTCCCCCACCCAAGCTGAACTGTGCTAATACGTCCCCGACGCCGACATATGAGCCCGTATCATAAGCTGTAGAATCGAGAAGCTCATTTCACTGCCTTCTGCAAATTTCTTTTGGGTTACGTCGTCACGGGTGGGCCACAGTGCCCTCATTTTCATTCCTGAGCGTCACAACGTGTACGCAG